CCCTGACCCATTCCAGCCCCTCCCACAGCCACCACCCCCACCTGCTTCGTAACCTCAGGCAGGGATCACAGCGAGCCCCAAGTCCCCAGCCGCCTGGCTTGGTGTAGAAGCCAGCAGGGACAGCTAGGAGGGAGCAGCCATTGTGAGGCCTCTCCTGGGGGGAATGGGGTGTTGCCAGGTGCTGCTTCCCTCCTCTTTGTTTGGATTTAAACCACAGGGGGTTAGCCCTGGAAGGGACCTGCAGCATAGGATAAGGTGGCTAGTGACACCATGTTCTAAAGGAATAATGCTTTTTGAAACGGAGGACTTTTATGAAATGAGTGGATTCTCCCTTTAAAAAACTGTTTTCCATTTGCCCAAAGTAACCTGGACATCTGAAGTGCATTTGAGATTTTTTCTCCCTCGCTGCCTCTCCCAGTCTAATTCATTGCCAAATCCTGTGACTCCACTTCATAGATACCTGCCACATCTGCATCCACAGCTTTCCCTCTGGAGTGTTTGCTTCCGTGTTTGAACCATCTCTTTCCCAGAATACAGCAAGCACCCGCCTCCTGCTTGCCTTCCCCTACCCGTCCTCTGTAGCCTCAGGAAGATCTTCTGAGACACGAATGTGGTGGTGGCGTGCTTTCCTTGTCCTATAAAGCCTGCACTTCCACAGACGGGAATCTCGCTCCGGCTCACCACCCACACCCCACCCTTGGAGCTCTTTTTTCCACCTCCCTGCCTCTGCCTGGCATGGCTTCTGCCCATCCATGGAGTGAACGCCTGTTGGGAGGCCCAGACTATACCTTCTCCTCTGTTGGGACCTCACTCAGCCATGAGCAGAGTGCGTCTTCTCAGCCATCCCTGGAGTAAACCCACGACCGCAGGATTTTTGCAGAGTGGATATTCGGCCATCTGCCCCTCTGACCCCTAGACTAGGCTCCTGGAAAATGAATGTCACATTCAGCCTCTGCAGGCCCAGCTCCCAGGGTGCTGCTAGGCGCATGGAAGGGGTTAAATAAGTGTGGCTGCTGCCTGGTTATAGGAGACAGAAAAAGGAAGTTGAGGACTTGTACTGGAGGGAAGTGCGGGGCGAGGGGGTGCACCCTGTAGCTTTTGTCAGTCTAGGATCCTCGGGCCTTGTGTCTGCACTGTTGACGGAGGACAGCTTGCTGAGGAAGCCTGCTCGCACACTGCTCTCACCCAACAGACACCTGATGAACACCTGCTTCCATGTACAGTGCCCCCAGTTACTTGAGGAACACATCACAGACTTATTGACATTTTTAATAAACGTAGCCATAGATACCCTTGAAAAGTCACCCCTCTCCTGTTCCCCCTCAACCCGAGCTTTTCTACCTGACATTATGTCCCCTCCAGTGTCACTTTTTCCTCCCAAGACCCCTTCGTCATTACTAAGTAGCTGGTCACGTCACCTAACTCAGAGCCAGGTTGCCGGGGTCGACTGCCTCGTTCTTCCTGCTGTGCTGGCCACACTGCCCCTCCGCTAGGCCGGCGCGCTCCTCTGTGCCGTGCTGCTCACCCCAGAGCTAAGGAGCCCTAATCGTCAACCATTGCTTTCTCCACTCCCTGACTCATTCTTTCACCACACCACCAAATGATGGAATATGTAGTTTGACCCAAAGAGACCTCAGTCTAAAGAAAAAATTGAACTTGAAACACATTTGCAAAATGGGGACAAATTGTCTTAGAAGCCCACAGGCAGGGAAGCTTGACAAATGAGTCCCGGAAGCCTTCCAGGAGGAAGTGATATTTAAGTTGCATCTTGGAAAGTACACGGATATCCTCAAGGAAGAGAAGAGCATTCTAGGAGGAAGCAGCAGAAGTAAAGGCCTGGGAGCGTGAAACACAGAGCCACGCCGCCGAGCAGTTGCGGCTCAGTGTGGCTCAGGCTGTCAGAGGCTTACAGGCAGCAGGAGGAAGGCCCTGTCTCCAAGGGGTTTAGCGGGAGATCTAAGTTGCCCCAGGACCCCTCTCTGACCCACAGGTGCTCCCACGGCTGAGCGAGTTTCCCAGGGCTGCTGGTACTTCCACCCACTCCCACCCTCTCCGGCGGGTGGCGTCCCAGAAGGAAAGAGGCAGGGGAGGAAGCAGATAAGAAAGACAGCTTCTGTTTAGACACAAATATCTTGGTAATCAGCACAGATGGGATGAGAAATACCAAAAAAAGTACATGACAGTTTAGAGAGAATTTGGCGGCGTGTTACGTATTTTTAACATACCTGTGCAGAGTTTTGGGAATAGGCTCCCGAGTCCCTGAGACTGATTGGGCCCGAGGGCGTGCCCGGGGCAAGTGGTGTTTTTATTGCTGAAATGCCCCCTTCCTGTCTGCAAAAGGATCCTTGTGATTTTTTTTTTTTCTCCCACCAAAATAAGGCGCAGGATCTGTCTCTGACGCTGTGTCTCCCTATTTGGACGGCAAGCTGTGTAACATATTTCTACCCAGCGTGAAGCTTCTTGGCAGACTCAAGAGGCCACGTTTTGGTGGCTTCAGAGTTATCTTTGGATCTGTCAAAAGTGCTAATGGGCTTTCTGGCCTTCTTTAAGCTCCTCTCATTTCTATTTTCTTTTTACTTCCATCCTCTCCTAAAAGAAAAATTCATGCAATTCATCAGCAGTTAAGCTTTCACTGAAATGCTCAGCTGAGGGCCTCGTCGTTTCGCTAGCGAGGAGCGCTCTGCCATGTCACCGCCTGCGGCGCAGACCCCACCCCGGCATCAGCAGCTCCGCTTTCCCCAGCCCACCGGGCGAGGGGCCTGCTCGCTGACTTGTTCAGACCACCTGCCCCGTGTGTTCTGTCAGGTTTTCACCAAGTTTGTTAAGAAGCAAGTCGGTGTGGTGGTCAGAGTGTGGACTCAGGAGACCTGGTTTTGGGAAACTGGGCTCTGCCCTTTCCTGCTGGGTGGCCTTTAGAAGCTGCTGAATCTTCCTGAGCCTCAGTTGTCCCGTCTGCAGAATGGAGGTAATGCTCACCCAGGGTTCTTGAGAACATTAGAGAGAACACAAGCTAAACATCTACTGCCTGGGGCCAGTGTTGTGCTGTAGTGGGTTAAGCTGCCACCATCCCCCGAGGGCGCTGCTTCAGGTCCCTTATGCTCCACTTCTGATCCAGCTCCCTGCTAATACGCCTGGGAAAGCAGCAGAAGATGGCCCACGTCCTTGGACCCTGCCACCCATGTGGGTGACTCCGAAGAAACTCCTGGATTGTGGCTTCAGCCTGACCCAGCCAGGGCTATTGTGGCCATTTGGGGAGTGAACCAGCAGATGGGACATCTGGCTCTTTCTCTGTGTCTCTCCCTCTCTCTGTAACTCTGTCTTTCACAGAAATAAATCAGTCTTAAAGGAAGAAAATACTGACTGCTTGGCACATAGAATAATTACTCAGTTAATGGGGTAATGATAATTTTTCATGGAACTTCTCCCCTCTCTTTAGACTCACTTTGATCTTGTTTCATTTCTATACTCCTTTCTTTTTCCAAATATGACTTTTTAATTTTGGGTGATATTTAAAGAAAACGTAGAATCAGAGTAGACCTACCCAGGATTGAATCTTAACTATTTATAGTCTGTGGCCTTTGTCAGATTGTATCAGTCTCTGTGCCTCTGTTTTCTCATCTTTAGAGTAATATCAAGTTCAAGGAGTGGTTCCAGATAAAGTAACACGTAAAGCCTTGTGTATGGTCGATGTGTTAGCATGTATGAGACAATGTAGTATGGAAGAAAGCCTGCAGAGTGTGGAGTCGCCCCTGATTCCACCTCCCCCAAACTTAACAACCCTATGTAATGGAAGGAAGAAGACCTCATTGGATATTTGTTAAGATTGCATAAAATCACATGTGTTTAATGTGTGATACTGTGCCCGGCACTTACCTGCTAGTCAGTATGTGAAGCCATTAATTCATTTCTTCTTTACTTGTAATGGTTTATGGTTGGAACCAGGTACTCTAGGAAAATAATAATAAATCACGAGTGCCCTTTCTCATTCCCAGCCCATAATATTGTTGAAAAGCTCCTTATGCTATTTTGCACATAAAATCCACCTGGCTTACTTCAGTTTATGAGTTATAGATCTTTATTCATCATAAACTGCGACCTCTGGCAACAGCTTGTTCCTTCCCTCACTAACCCCTTTCATTTTCACGAGATTATATTATGTGCTTTGAAAACCCGTAACACTGAAGAAATTAACATATCCATGTGTATTATTAAAGTTAGGTGGGTATAGAAAGGGTATAGCAGTCTGAAATGTGAAGAGTACCAATCTGTAGCAGTGATTAAAAGAGTGAAGCCCAGGATATAGAAAATCAAGCTACTTAAAACACTGCTTTGTCACAACTTACTGCTGCTTGTCTTCAGTTTTTCCCTTTTGGGTGAAATACAAGGAAATTGTAAGTCTCGAAATTGCTTTAATTCCAGCTGAGCCGCTTTGGAGAGTTTAAACTGTGGAGGGGAGGGACACCAGCAGTGACAACAGGAGAGGGGCACACCGGCGCTGGTGGGTGGGAGCTGTGCAGAAACAGGCTCCGAGCCAGCTGCATTCAGGCCCCGGGCTACTCTTTTTTTTTTTTTTGGCTTAGATGGATGGCACAGTACAATGGGAAGGCTCTAGAATCTAGGGTCCGAAGATGTGAGTGGCAGTCCTGTCTTTGTTGCTTATTAGACTGATCTTTGCAAGTGGTTTCCTCACTTGTGAGACTACAGAATTCCTGTCCAGCCCTTTGAGGAGCTGACACGGAGAGCAGACACAGTGCTGTGTGCTCCTCACATCGTAAGCTGTAATCACCACACAGACCGCTTCATGGCTGAGGTCCCTTCCGGCTTTCCACCTCATGATTTTATACACGAGTGGGGTTTGCTCTCCCAGGTAAAAAGCACAGGACCAGGAAAGAAGAGAGGATGCTTTCTGATTATTCTGTTTCTCATGCTTTCATTAGGTACTGTTTGTAATAAGGGCACACCAAATAAGCCACCAACCTTGCCCTTCTTCTTTCTCCTAGAGAAATCTGACAGAATATTTTGTGGCTGTGGATGTTAACAACATGTTGCACCTGTACGCCAGCATGCTCTACGAACGCCGGATACTCATCATTTGCAGCAAACTCAGCACTGTGAGTAGACAGTCTTGAGATGAGCTTCTCAGTGATTTAATTTTAATTGAGAGATGCATCGGCAAGATTAAAGGAAATCCTAGAAAAAGGAATCCGACAGAGTCCCCTCCTAGGGTAACACATCATTTTCATTAATTGTCTATGTCCCCTTTCAGCATCAAAGCACAGTTCGTTTATTTTTATAGTTTCACCACCCGTTATAAATAGTTTTCCACCCGATTATGTGTTAGGAACATTCTGCATATTTCCACAGAAGCTTCCATTATTGTCATTTTTTAGTGTCTACAACATGATTCGTTATACTGATGTGTCATCATTTACTAAGTCTTCTCTTCACGGCCTTTTAGGCTGCTCATAGATTAATCCTGTAGTAGATAATACTGCAGTGAACATCTTTTGGCTTCTTTTGACTGATTGCAATTCATATTCTGAGGAGGTCAAAGGACTTGATATGCGCTGGTGTTTCCTGCTTGCTTCTCAAGTGGGCTGTGCTTGTTTGCAGTGAATGCTGCCAGGTATGCGAATGTGTCATTGCTGCCGCAGCCTTGCCACTGTGTGTGTGTGTGTGTGTGTGTGTGAATTCAAGTGTGTTTTTGTTTTGATTTTGCTAATAAAGTAGATGTAAAATGGTCTGTCAGGTTTGCTTTAATTTTTATTTCTTTCATAGAGGTAATATTTTCCATGTTATTTTTTTCCCTATTTGTATTCTGGTAATGTCTTTTCTCACTTACTTTTTAGGGTCTTGATATTTCTCTTATAAATTAGAATGAGCTCTTTACATATTGCAATAACTTTTGTTACATGTAGAATATAAATATTTTTCATGCTCTTTTCATATTAGTTTCTCACTTGTTATAGAAATTTATATGTTCCCAATAGTTTATGAAAATCAATTTAAATCCTTTTACAGTTAACACCAGTGTAATTCTAGCTGGATTCTGCCAGAAAAGCTTTGTCACATATTTATCCATCATCCATTCATCAACCCATCTTACTTTTTTTGTTGCAATTCAAATTAAATCTGTCAATACATTTCCTTCTAAGAAATTGAATGCCTCTTTGTAGGACTGGCTGCTGCTGCTGCTGCTGTTAGCTAAGACATACAGAAACGGACTGGGCACAGAATAGCTTACAGGTGTCCTTCTGTTGTAAGGATAGGAAAATCCTTTTTACAATGGGAATTTCCGCAGGAGAGGGGCTGTGGATAAAATCAGTTATGTGTTTACCTATCAAGAAAAGGCATCTAGTCATGAAAACTTTGTAAGACAGAGCTCTCATCATAACTTTCACATTTCTTTGGTTATGGATTGCTTGTCCAGAGCTCACAACTTTTTTGGATTGCCTACTGTATGCCGGACTCATGACACATATAAGTGAGAAAAGTGTAGCCCTCGCCCTCTAGGTAAGAACAGCCCTAGAGTGGACCTCTTGCTTTGTTTTGCACTAAGTTCACAATCTCAGGGCGTTAACGTGCAGACCGAGTTTCAGAATGGGTGTACTGCCAACCAAGTGTTTCATTGCCTCTTTCTGGGGCCAAAGAGAATGAGAGTACATTTGAACGTGTCTGGTCCATAAACAGTTACTGTTGCTTTAGATTACTAAACTTCAGTTGAGCAAAACCAGGCTATCACTTCAGTGGAACTGAAAATCTTATGATTTATGTTTTTAAAGACTGACTATTTAGGGGCCAACATTGTGGCACAGCAGTTAAGCCAAGGCCCAAGATGCCAGCATCCCATATGAGTGCCGGTTCAAGTCCTGGTTGCTCTAATTCTGATCCAGCTCCCTCATGATGTGCTTGGGAAAGCAGCAGAGAATGGCCCAAGTCCTTGGACCTCTGCACCCACATGGGAGACCTGGATGAATTTCCTGGCCCAGCCCCAATTTGGGGAGTGCACCAGTGGATGGAAGACCCCTCTCACTGTCTTTCCTTTCTCTGAAAGTCCGCCTTTCAAATAAATAAATAAATCTTTGGGAAAAAAAAAAGACTATTTATTTAGAAGGCAGAATAGCAGAGAGAGAGTGAGAGAGACAGACAGACAGAAAGAGATCTTCTGTCCTCTGGTTCACTTCTCAGATGGCTACAATAGCCAAGGCTGGGCCAAACGGAAGCCAGGGACCTGGCATTCCATCCGTGTCTCCCACATGGGTGGCAGGGGCCCAAGCACTTGAGCCATCCTCTGCTGGTTTCCCAGGTGCATTAGCAGGGAGCCGGATCAAAAAGGCCAGCATTGTAAGCAGTGGCTTAACCTGCTGCTCCAAAATGCTGGTCCCCTGTGATTAGTCATGACTTTTAGAGCCCTTATTGTGTACCAGGCTCTGTCTCAAGTACTTCACAAGTATTAGCTCATTTAATCCTTACAACAGCAGCCTTGGTGGGTTCTGTTATTATATTACATCCTTGATCTTGTAGATAAGGAAGAATGTGTCTTCTGGTGATGGTGTTTGCTTACATGTGGTCGATTAAACACATGCAGTTAGTTATTCCTGCACCTTCCCAGCACTGACATGGGACGGTGGAGTAAGTCACAACTGCAAGGAGCAGATGCAGCAGAGATTTTTTGCATGGTAGGAATGTACTGTTATCAGTTTTGTGCTAGTGTTTGAAAACTAAGGTCAAAAGGACAGAAAGGAGCCGGCGCCGTGGCTCAATAGGCTAATCCTCCACCTTGCGGCGCCGGCACACCGGGTTCTAGTCCCGGTTGGGGCGCCGGATTCTGTCCCGGTTGCCCCTCTTCCAGGCCAGCTCTCTGCTATGGCCAGGGAGTGCAGTGGAGGATGGCCCAGGTGCTTGGGCCCTGCACCCCATGGGAGACCAGGAAAAGCACCTGGCTCCTGGCTCCTGCCAGGATCAGCGCGGTGCGCCGGCTGCAGCGGCGGCCATTGGAGGGTGAACCAACGGCAAAGGAAGACCTTTCTCTCTCTGTCTCTCTCTCACTCTCACTGTCCACTCTGCCTGTCGAATAAAAAAAAAAAAAAAAAAGGACAGAAAGATCAAATTTACCAAAATTGTCTCAGGAAGAATTGGAAAAAATTGGTTATTTAATTTATAGAAACTGAATCAATACTTTATTTTTCCAAATAAAACAGTCAGCCCAGATGGTTTTATAGGTATATTTTTTATCATATATCTTGAGGAACAGATAACTTAGCCTTAGACAAATTCTGAAAGAGTCTAGAAGAAAGAGAGATCCACCCCAGCTTTTATTGTGACAGTTGCATGACCTTGACATTCCATCGCCTAAGAAGACAGGACAGGAAAAAAACAGTGTTATCCAGTGTCACTTGTCACCATGGATGTAAAAGTCTTAAACAAAATAGTGAGCAATAAAACCTATAATGACTTAAGTTGGGCTGATGCCAAAAGTGTATTTACTAGGAAATCTATTAATATAACTTCCACATTACCATATTGTGAGGGAAAACCCATCATGACTACCAGTAGATGGAGGAGAAAGCATGACCAATCATGAATAGGAAGGTTTACTGTCTTGAAGATGTGATTTCATTCCCAAATGATCTGTAGACTGAATAAAATTCCATTCCATATCCTAAAGGGACCGTACATGGTATCTGACAAGCCGATTCTAAACTTAATGTGCAAATCCAAAAAGCCCAGACCTACTGGATTGTTGAAGATTCCTTTACCGGACACACAACTTCCTGTAAAGCTACCGAAGTTAAGGCACCGGAAGTGGCACAGAGGTGGATGACACCGAGGAAGCAGAGAGCCCAGAAACACGGCTGCCTGCTCACTACAGAGGTGGCCCTGTGGCATCCCTGGGGAGGTGATGTTCTTTCCAGTCAGTGACTATCCACGCAAGGAAGCAAGGGGACACGATTTCTGTCTAATTACTAAGTGGGTCAAGGGTTTAAATGGAAAAGACAAAATTTGAAAACTTTTGAAAGGGGCAAAAATAGGAGACTAATCCTCTATGACCTTAGAGCAGAGAGGGATTTCTTTAAAGATGATCCAAAATATATGTTGCCTAAAGGAACAAATGAAATTTGCGAACATTTGTTCATTGAAAGATGCCATTCAGTGACTGAAAAGGCAGATCACAAGCTGAGAAGAGATTTGCTATAAGAAAAATTGACAGAGGATTAGTATTGAAAATACATAAAGGATAATAAAGTTAAAAGGCAGAAAAGACACTGATCAATAGAAAAGCTGGCCAGAGGCACAAGTGAGCACCTCACAGGAGAGAGATGAGCAGTCTTCAGAAAGTTGAGGGGCGGTGTGGTGGGTCGAGCTGCTGCTTGGACACCCCTTTCCTGTGCCACTGTGCCTGGGGTTGAGTCCCATCTCCTCCTCCAATCCCGTTTCCTGTTCACCTGCACCCTGGGAGGCAGCAGGGAATGGTTCAAGTACTTGAGTCCCTGCTCCCAACTGGATGACCTGGAGGGAGTTCCTGGCTCCTGGCTTTGGCCTGGCCTGGCCCTGGCTACTGAAGGAATTTGAAGGGTGAGCCCATGGGTGGAAGATTCTCTCTCTCTCTCTCTCTTTCTGCCTCTCAAATAAATAAAAGTGCATCATTTTTTTTTAAAAAGCTCACAGAAAATGCAAATTATGAAACAACTATGCATGGACTTCAAAATTTTTTGCACCAGGATAAACTCATTTTCTAGTTCCATTTTTCCATGAACTTTTGAAGTACGCTTGTATTATTTCAACTTAAGAAAAAAAAAAGCCTTCACATATAGTTGTGTTTTTTTTTTTAATATTTATTTTATTTATTTGGAAGATAGATTTACAGAGAAACGTAGAGCCAGAAAAAGAGAAGTCTTCCATCCGCTGCTTCACTACCTAAATGGCCACAACAGCCAGAGCTGAGCTGATCTGAAGCCAGGAGCCAGGAGCTTCTTTCAGGTCTCACACGTGGGTGCAGGGGCCAAAGGAGTTGGGCCATCTTCGGCTGCTTTGCCAGGCCATAACAGAGAGCTGGATTGAAAGTGGAGTAGCTGGGACTCAAACCAGCGCCCATATGGGATGCTGGCAC